TGCGTAATAGTGGCTTTAGGCATTGTATGTACTAGCTCTATCTATATATCGATCCATTAATGTAACATTACTTGTATGTATGTACCTTACCTGAATAAACATTTATTTATTTTTTTTATATAAAATCCGTCTTTTATTTAACAGATAAATTGATTTAATTTAATGGTCAACAGGAAGACACGTTTAACACACATATATACTCTCTCTGAACCATCCAGGTAAACTAAACTCTCTCTGAACCATCCAGGTAAACTCTGAACTCTCTGAACCATCCAGGTAAACTCTGAACTCTCTCTGAACCATCCAGGTAAACTAAACTCTATCTGAACCATCCAGGTAAACTAAACTCTCTCTGAACCATCCAGGTAAACTAAACTCTCTCTGAACCATCCAGGTAAACTCTGAACTCTCTGAACCATCCAGGTAAACTATGAAGACCTGTAGCAGCTTATTCACACCTCTCTACCTGATATTAATACTACGGTACGGTTAGTGTTATATATAATTTTTCAGTGGTTAGTTTTATTACACTGTATGGAGAAGGTGTTTGTGCACGCTAAGGAGCTACACATGTGACAAAATGATACATTTGGCAGGAATCTTAGCTCGGACTGAGTGACCTTGAAAACAAGCGAGCTTATGTGGAGCAGAGAGGCCTAACTCCTCGTGCCCCGCCTCTTAGCAGTGCTTCTGCATGCATAAACAATGTGTGAATCTTTCCTACTGATCGTGCGATATGATTGGAGTCCCTTTGCTGTGTGGTTGATGTGTAACTCTGTGGTTCGTGCTGTGTGAAGCTGTGAACCTGCCCAAGCGACACTCGAGGCATGGCGACTGCTGCCTCTAAGGCAGGTGCTGCCTCAGTGGCCTCACACCAGAGTGCTAGTACATCAAGTGGTCTACACGAGGAAGATACAAGCATGGTATCTTTCACAGTGGACTCAAATGCTGGACAGGAGGAGCCTGATAGTGACGAAACTCCTTGGACAACTGTATCGTCCCGGAGGAAGACACAAGAAGTCAAAAATAACATAAATCGTAACCATGAGAAGAAAAGAACCAGCCTGCAGTGTCCCCCGGGCACGGGAACTGCAGCAAAATATGCATGGTTGGCTGAGGCTGCCAAACAACACCCTGGTGGTGGGTATTGGTTGGCGAATAGACATGCAAACCATGTTCATATGAACAGTACTGATGAGATGGTGCTATAGTTCTGTACTCAAGAGCTTGCTGGTATAACAATGAGGAAACCACCACCGCCTGCTCATACCCACAGGCCACCTGTCATCATTTTTGGTCTGGACCTCTACCAGGATCACACACTGGTAGAGCAGCATGAATATATGTTCAATGCGAAAAGAACAAAGGGCAGAGAGACTATTCTCGCCAACTGGACCAGCGAAGAGACTCCGCCGGAAAGATTTACTGTTCCAAGTGCTTATCGGCAACTAACAATGAAGATTGAGTGGAGTGGAGTACTGCTGCACAATGACAGCACCTTTCAAAGCTGGAGAAATTGCTGACCTGGAGAGCGTGCAGGGATCCTTTACTGCTAGAATCCACTCAGTAAAACATCTAAACTACTGGGACCGACTAAAGAGCCTAAATCGGTATTCTCTTGAGCGCAGGAGGGAGAGATACATAATAATTTACACGTGGAAAATATTAGAGGGGCCCAAACCTGCACACAGAAATAACATCACATGAGACCAGAAGACATGGCAGGATGTGCAGAATACCCCCGTTGAAAAACAGAGGTGCAACAGGTACTCTGAGAGAGAACTCTATCAACATCAGAGGTCCGAGACTGTTCAACACGCTTCCACTACACATAAGGGGCATAACTGGCCGACCCCTCACAGTGTTCAAGAGAGAACTGGATAAGCACCTCCAAAGGATACCTGATCAACCAGGCTGTGACTCATACGTCAGGCTGCGAGCAGCCGCGTCTAACAGCCTGGTTGATCAGTCCAGCAACCAGGAGGCCTGGTCGACGACCGGGCCGCGGGGACGCTAAGCCCCGGAAGCACCTCAAGGTAACCTCAAGGTAGGTAACATGTATATATAACATTAATAATTTTGTAACTAGCGTCAAAAGATTGTTATTTGCTTAGCTAAACGAACTAGAGGGTTCAGTTCCTGAACCGATTATGTGCCTCTGTAATCCTTTACACCACCGCCCACGGGATGGGTATGGGGTGCATAATAAAGAAAGAAAATGAATGAAGGCAGAGCGTCGGCCAAGAAACCTTGTTTAAAATATGAATATCTTTCCTGTCTAATAAGATATCATCTCTGCAATGGAAGAATCTTAGCTCGGGGAGCTAAGACCGGCTGGGGAGCCGGTCGGCCGAGCGGATGTAACACTGTAAAAGTGTTTGAGTTAGTTTATTTAAAATATATATAGAGTACATGAGTCACAGACAAGGATCTGAGAGGCGCCAGTTGTCTGCCTGAGATCTCACACCTCAAAGCGTTAATGACCTCAAGTGACCTGAGGTCAGATCATGAGAATTTCACCTTGCTTCCGCTAAGCTCTTAATTGTAGTCTGGTAGCCTTCAAACAAGCCGACGTTTAAGGAGTGGCTTGGTAATGCCGGAGGCTATCTATTTGTGGGCGGAGTTAGCTACTAGGTTCCCCAATATAAACTCGGAGAGCTATCCAGCAGAGAGGATTAATCAAGAGAACAGCAGACGAGCAGAGCAGGGAGGCTGTCGGCCGGCAGGGCGGGAGTCTCTGTCAACTACAGACCCCCCCCCTCTCTATTCAACTTAGACTCAGTCCTCGGTGAGTGAACATTAAGGTGACTTGGTCGTGTTTTCATATGTTGTGTGATGATCAGGGGCAGTCAAGTTGTAGGGTTCTCGAATTCTTGGATGATGACTCACTTTGCATATTAAACTGGAACATTTTAATTGGATTGCTAAATTATGATACTTAATGGGAAATATAATTGTTGAATTTATCATTTAAATGGACTTTATTTTGTTCCCTAGAGATTTGAGTTGAGGTGAGAAAGCCTCGGTGATTACTGGTTTCATGATTTAATGAGTACATGTTTGGAGTTGATACATGATAAAGATGGGACAGATTAATAATGAACTCATGATAACATCTTTTGAGAATTTTGTGATACAGGCAAGTTCCATTCCTTGTCTGGTATGTAATGATCATGAATGGATGGTGGCAGCATTTCGTCTTCTACTATCTACTCTTCTACTTCTACTACCTACTCTTCTACTTCTACCTATCTACACCTCTCCCTCCACCCCTCTCTGAACTCGCACTTTCAACTAATGACCCTCCTCGCTCCTCCCACCTCCCTACCTCTCACCCCAAACCCTCACTAATTACTTCACTATTCATTTCTTTCCTTTCGTTTCCTCTTATACGTTTGTGGCAATGATTCTGTATTCTAGAGTTCTCTCTAGAGTTTCGGGTAACTGATCAAGTGACGGCGCCTTGTAGTCAAATACCTAGGTTACAAGGTGTTGAACGAGAGAGGTTGCCTTAGGAACTCTGGAGGTGCTCTAGAATAGTTAGCTAACTGGGGACGGGATAACGGACTAGAGAGAGCTGTTTCCCCCGGCCTCGTTAGTTAACTGGGGGGTGGAATAATGGACGCGGGACTTGTGATCCTGTGGTCCTGGGTTCGATCCCAGGCGCCGGCGAGAAACAATGGGCAGAGTTTCTTTCACCCTATGCCCCTGTTACCTAGCAGTAAAATAGGTACCTGGGTGTTAGTCAGCTGTCACGGGCTGCATCCTGGGGGTGGAGGCCTGGTCGAGGACCGGGCCGCGGGGACACTAAAGCCCCGAAATCATCTCAAGATAACCTTTCTGATAACATATACAAATATAAGTTTTTTTTGTGAATCTCTATTAATTAACTAATATATCAGAGAGCGTGTAGGGTTCGGTGTTCTATGAACGAAAAGGACATGAGTAGTTTAAGTAGCGAACGCATACAAGCGAATAACGTTAGTATCTATATAACAAAATTATTGTCCCGTGGAGTTTATTTAACTTCCAGACACATTCTTTTAAATAAATATTAAATGATTTGTGGCTATTTATGAAAGATATTATTACAAATACCCATTCTATTTGTTAATATAATTAATTAAATTTGCGACAATTTGAGCAAAGAAATGCGACGACTGGATCACTGTGTACAGGAAGCTGATATGGCAGCAAACACTCTCCAGGCGACCATATATCTTGGATAAGTCGCTCCACAATATTTCCTTCTCCACACGGGAGACATCTCCCGTCACGCAGGGTGCAGTCACACCTCCACAGATTTATTTATTTATTTATTTATGCATATACAAGAATGTACATAAGGAATGTGAGGATACAGTTATGGTAATTACAGTCTTGTAAAGCCACTAGCACGCGCAGCCTCCTAGCATTACTCCGGTATCTCCAGTATCTCTCAGATCTCCAGTATCATCTATTGATACTGGAAATGGCTCAAAAGGGCCACCACTTATGGGCTATTCATGCCCATGCCACCTTTTGGGTGGCTTAATCTTCTCTCTCTCTCTCCACAATATTGTCTCCCGACGACTCCTGACGTCATTTTCTATGACGTCACCTGCATATTTACTTCTAATTTCGATATGAAATTACATTATTTCAGAGCAAAAATAGGTTTGATCATGTTCTAAATGCAGCATCAACATTACAATAAGTAAATATACCATATTTCTTCATTACTTGCGTAATGCTAGGAGGATTTGGGTAGATTTGGGTAGTTCTACGGACCCCTTACGAACCTTCGTAGCACACCTACTTACGAAGAAATACATGGAGCTTCTTGAATCTAGGTCCAGGCAGGCAGTATATTATTACTATTATGGTAATTATTATAATTATTTATTTATTATAATTATTATTATTACTATTATTAAATAAATAAAGTCCCCCAAACTCCATGCGCGTGCTTTCTTTGATACACAGAAAATGGTATCCGCTCGCGTGGTGCAGGTTTGATTCCTCCGCCACATCCTCCGCCAGAGCAAGGTGGGGAGTCGGCGAGTGAAGTTGTGCGAAGAGGCTTGTCTGGCCCACTACCCCCGTCTGGCCGTGCGTGAACCACCATATATACATTGAAATAATTTGTGTTTCTTGAAGCCTAGAATTGTCAAGTGTGGAGAGTAATCTGTGTAATACACGTTGTTGAACCCAGTGAAATTGGTCTTGCAGGAATCCAGTTGGACCTCTTCATCATCACAGCCTAAGAGGTAAAATATTTATTGTCTGCTTTTATACATGGCTTCAACTTGTGGGTAATGGGGAGTCTGTCAGTCTTATAGAGGTTCCTCCTAGCTCAACTTCTCACCTTCCCCCAGCATGCAACCTATACCAGCTGCCTTATTCCCGGGTACCTATTTATTGTTAGGTGAACAGAGGTATGTGGTGCAGAGCTAGATACCCAAACATGTCCTGGCCTGGTGAACTGCTAGCGTGAGACTGATCCAGAGGTCATCCACCGGTGTTTGTGGGTGTGGGGGTCAGGTCACCCGCCGGTGTGGGGGTGACGGCTGGCTGCAACATGAAGGTGGTGACGGTGTGGGGGGGGGCCATAATGGCACAAACGTTTCTCTCCTCTGATAAACGAACGTTCGGTGACTTACCACCAACACAATTAGGACCAATTCCAGCATGTTGTATATAATATGCTCGTGTGTGAGCTCACACAATACTAATGAATGCTATATGCAATATGGTATAACTACAACTTAGCAATTATAAATAAATTATATGGGGCTCATGGCAGTCAGTGTCTCGCGAACTAAAACTCCGCTAAAATATTAAGGTAATATCAGTAAACACAGACGAACCAAAGCTGCCGCTATAGGATAAAGCCAAAACTTCCTTTCCATCTTTTACTGGGAAAACATAAGTCGTATACAGTTAAGAAATGTTTGATTCAGGGCGTGTATATGGTGTGAGGGTTGGACGTAGTTCCTGGCGGCGACTGTGGCAGGAGAACCATTGCTTCAGGATGCCCATTTTAACTACGCCTACCCCACGCCCCTCCCATATACCCCAAACACTTCATGACCCCGTGATGAAAACATTATTAGGATACGTCCTGCACCTTCCGTCACGGAATTATACGTCGGCGAGAGTGAGGGGGAGGGGGGGGGCGGGTAGTGATGGTGAGTGCGACGGGAGAAAACTATCTTTATCACAGTGGGACCTGCGCTATTACGCATTATCTTTTTTTTTTTTGAGATATATACAAGAGTTGTTACATTCTTGTAGAGCCACTAGTACGCGTAGCGTTTCGGGCAGGTCCCTGGAATACGATTCCCGCCGCGAAGAATCGTTTTTTCATCCAAGTACACATTTTAATGTTGCGTTAAACAGAGGCTACAGTTAAGGAATTGCGCCCAGTAAATCCTCCCCGGCCAGGATACGAACCCATGACAAAGCCCTCGCGGAACGCCAGGCGAGGGTCTTACCACTACACCACGGAGATTGTCAAAAATCTAATAGCTGCGAGTTGAATGTTGTTCTAATGTTTACTCATTTTGTCTTGCAAGGACCTAATCTTTTACAAAGCCCTCATTGTCTTGTAATAAGATAAATATAATGTTATTTACATAAAGTAAGGAAGCAATGTATAGAGTGACAACATGCAAGCTTGCATGTTGCTTACGGCCCGGAGGTGCAGGCACCTGTGTCTCCACCTCTTTAACACACTTGTCTACGAACGCCTAAGCCCACATGCACAAGGACTCCTCCTAACTATCTGGGTACCCATGGAGCTCTTTTAGCTTAGATTTTACAATTAGAAGCTATATTCGCAAGTGATTTGATTACAGTCTCCGTGGTGTAGTGGTAAAGACACTTGCCTGGCGTTCCGCGAGCACTATGTCATGGGTTCGTATCCTGGCCGGGGAGGATTTACTGGGCGCAATTCCTTAACTGTAGCCTCTGTTTAACGCAACAGTAAAATGTGTTCTTGGATGAAAAAACGATTCTTCGAGGCGGGGATCGTATTCCAGGGACCTGCCCGAAACGCTACGCGTACTAGTGGCTCTACAAGAATGTAACAACTCTTGTATATATATAAAAAAAAAAAAAAAAAAAAAAAAATTGTGCAAATCATCATAGCATGCCTGGAGTGAACATGTTAAAACATGACTCAGCGTCTGCGTATATGGATCCCGCCCCATAATGGCCGTAAGCAAGACTGAAAGTGTTAGGCAGAGCATGTGCTGCTCCACCTCTGGGTGCCTCTGAGGAGCCTGAAGACACCAAAACACCCAGAACTGCAACTACATTTGTGTAGACCTGAGACAACATTTGTGTAGACTTGAGACAACATTTGTGTAGACCTGAGACAACATTTGTGTAGACCTGAGACAACATTTGTGTAGACCTGAGACAACATTTGTGTAGACTTGAGACAACATTTGTGTAGACCTGAGACAACATTTGTGTAGACCTGAGACAACATTTGTGTAGACCTGAGACAACATTTGTGTAGACCTGAGACAACATTTGTGTAGACCTGAGACAACATTTGTGTAGACTTGAGACAACATTTGTGTAGACTTGAGACAACATTTGTGTAGACCTGAGACAACATTTGTGTAGACTTGAGACAACATTTGTGTAGACTTGAGACAACATTTGTGTAGACCTGAGACAACATTTGTGTAGACTTGAGACAACATTTGTGTAGACCTGAGACAACATTTGTGTAGACCTGAGACAACATTTGTGTAGACCTGAGACAACATTTGTGTAGACTTGAGACAACATTTGTGTAGACCTGAGACAACATTTGTGTAGACTTGAGACAACATTTGTGTAGACCTGAGACAACATTTGTGTAGACTTGAGACAACATTTGTGTAGACTTGAGACAACATTTGTGTAGACTTGAGACAACATTTGTGTAGACCTGAGACAACATTTGTGTAGACTTGAGACAACATTTGTGTAGACTTGAGACAACATTTGTGTAGACCTGAGACAACATTTGTGTAGACTTGAGACAACATTTGTGTAGACCTGAGACAACATTTGTGTAGACCTGAGACAACATTTGTGTAGACCTGAGACAACATTTGTGTAGACTTGAGACAACATTTGTGTAGACCTGAGACAACATTTGTGTAGACTTGAGACAACATTTGTGTAGACCTGAGACAACATTTGTGTAGACTTGAGACAACATTTGTGTAGACTTGAGACAACATTTGTGTAGACTTGAGACAACATTTGTGTAGACCTGAGACAACATTTGTGTAGACCTGAGACAACATTTGTGTAGACCTGAGACAACATTTGTGTAGACTTGAGACAACATTTGTGTAGACCTGAGACAACATTTGTGTAGACCTGAGACAACATTTGTGTAGACCTGAGACAACATTTGTGTAGACTTGAGACAACATTTGTGTAGACCTGAGACAACATTTGTGTAGACTTGAGACAACATTTGTGTAGACTTGAGACAACATTTGTGTAGACTTGAGACAACATTTGTGTAGACTTGAGACAACATTTGTGTAGACTTGAGACAACATTTGTGTAGACTTGAGACAACATTTGTGTAGACCTGAGACAAAGTGAAATTCATACAATAAACCATAATAACGTAGACAATATCATTTCATAATTGATTCTCAGGCAGGACGAGACGTTTAGGCACGTTTCCGTACACATGATACGTGTGTTGAGTGTTGAGTTAGCAGTAATTAGTTACCCGGGCGTTAGGGAAGTGTTGAGGATTGCCTGGCTCAGTCCCTGGCCAAGGAGCACCCCGATAAGCTTAACAGGCTTCCTGTCCTCGACTTGCTGCCTTCTTATGGTAACTACTTGCTTACTTCCTGTCCTCTTCACTGTAAACCTTACATAAAGTTGTATTCAATAACGTAGTGATTTATGTGTTGTAGAGGTGAAGGCCGCCATCATGGGAAAGAGTATGGGAGAGGTAGCTGTGTCGGAAGAGATGCTCTCCCGCACCCAGCAATGTAAGCATCAACCACAACAACTTTCTTGTACATATCAATACTTAATAATTATGACAATGTCACCACAAAGCAAGTCAGATAACGACTTAGTTTCAGTGTTAACATTTTTGTTGTACCATAAATTGTTTCACATACATATAATTATATTTAATTATTGAATTATGTTTAACGATATACAAGCCAGGCGACCACAGCCAGGCGACCACAGCCAGGTGACCACAGCCAGGGCTCCTGACATGACAATATGGCGGGAAGCATCACCTAGTAATGATCCACCACCTTACATTTCTATTACTTAATTTGGACAAACTGGAAACCCTTTAAACAACAACAACATATATAAGACTTTACCTAACTTCTTCTAGCAATCCTAGGCCTAATACACGCTATCTTAGGCCTATTATAGTACATATATTCTATACTAGGCCACCATGCTCCACCCACTACCCACCACCTACCACACTCCACTATCAGGTGTTTGCGTTTTTTATAAAGTGGATACTGAAGTTACTGGGGAACCGAAACCCCAATCACTCCCTGATAAAATATGACTACCACGGCAGCCACACTGCTGCTGTCATCAGTCGATCGGTAATGGATATTGAAGTGCATATAATAAGTTGGGAGATCACCGTGTAATTGGCGTACACTCGGAGAGGGTTTCCATGTCACCTTTATTTGGGGTTGCAACTCAAAACTGGCCTATTAGTCATGAGTACACACCCTCTCGAGCCGCTGTGACTCCCTCACACTCTCCTTGTTTTGGGATGATCTTCTAAATCCCCTTTATGATGTTACTAACCTCTGTCAACCAATTTGCAACCGTGTCTCTCTCTCTCTCACTATCTAGGGAGCCTCACCAGGACATGAACAAAAATCAGCTGTCAACAGACAAACGTTTATTACATAAAAAGACATTCAAATAAATATATATATAATATTACAGTTCAGCATCCTAGGCTGCTATCAACCGATAACACTCTAATCTCATATCAGGTCTTCATCAAATAAATTGTACTAGGCTGCTACTCACTTTTGGCCCTACTGCCTCCTCACTGCTTGGGGTTAAATACCTGACACATAAAACTATCTCCAACAAGAAAAGAAATAAATTTCTCACCTTACATTGCGTCTTTCATGCCAATATGCAATCAAGCTCTCCCTCATACATTATCAATGTGTCCATATGATTCTCTGTTCTACTTCCTGAGACCACCACTATGAACATCTGTCTGGGTCCTCAAAACCAGGTAGGTACTCCTGCAGTCCTTCCAATATCTGCTGCACCTGAAGTCCCACTCAAATGTCTGTGAGGTTCTTCTATGAGGCTTCATAAAAGAAACATGTAGCTCCCCTACACTCGAAGTTCCATTCTACCAATGGAGTTATACTCTACCAAAGTTCAGTTCCACACATGAAGTTCAGATCCACACTTGAAGTTCAGCTCCATACTTGAAGTTCAGCTAATCAACCACTTCCGGGGCTCCGCCTCTCAGTCGCTTACTGACCTCAGGCGAGTCATTTCCTTCCACCCAGGGCTTTCTACTTCCAAAATTCCTTGCATATACTGCATCCCCGTCATTAAACAACTATTCCTCTCCCTGAGCCAACTGATTTTCTGGCTCTCCTCCTCTACAGGAATTTGCAAGTAAGCATCTTTCAGGTCAATCTTAGAAAAAATTTCCCCCTTGCAGACCACTGACAACAACTCATCTATCTTAGGTAAAGGGTACTTCTCACAGTGTATGCGGTTGTTCAGTTCCTTGAAGTCTGTACAGATTCTCAAGGGTTTCCGATCTGCCTTCAACACTGGTACAATTGGGGCTGCAGACTCACTATGTGTAATTGGCTCTAAGATGCCTTCTGCCACATGCTTTTCCAGGGCTGATTCTACCAATTGCTTGTAATGAAACAGCACTGTTCTTGCCTTGAAAAATTTAGGTGAAGCCCCACTTTTCAGGTGAATTTTTGCCACCATGCTATTAATTTGCTTATCTGCCTCCAATGAATATTTGTCTAACATATGTTCGGCACTTTTAATTGTTTTAACTATCGACAATTCATCTAGGCCCGCCAAGAAAATTCCCACCTTTTCCATGAGATCCTTACCACATAGGCTAGGATTATGTGAATCCACTACATAAAAATTCTGGACAATTTCTTTTCCATTATAGCCTACTTTTGCCGACACCTTGCCATAGACCTTAATCAGCATATTATCATATGCACTTAGTGATTTTTTACCTGGTTTTACATTCAGTTGCAAGGTATCTGCCCAATCTCTAGACAATGTTGACACTGCAGCACCAGTGTCCAGTTCCAAGGGAACTAACTTCCCATTAATTACAAAATTCACCACTTGTGGCTTCACTGAACATACCTTTTCTTTCACCGAATATAGTCGGTTTTCCTCACCTGCAGCTTCTTCAGACGGGTTACCTTCCTCTACTGTCTCGAGCACAGTACCACTATCTTCCTCTACTGCTTTGACAACAGTACCACTACCTTCCTCTACTGCCTTGACCACAGTACCACTACCTCTTCTTCCTGCATTCCCTGGTCGTCTCCTCTCCCAGGCCTTGATGTTCCTGTTCAGATATTCCCTACACACTCTCTGCAAGTGTCCCTCCATGTTACAAAAGTTGCATATATAGGCACGAAACTTGCACTTGCTACTTATGTGATTGTATCCACAGTGTTTACATCTGGTCTGGCCCTGTACGACCATAATTTATTGAGTAGATTTCTTACTTCCAAAAGCCCTTTCCAGGTTCAGAGTCTTCTCTAGCACTGTCAATGAAGTCATCGATTGTAGATCCACGTTTTCTGTCACCAGGTTATGGAAAAATATCTCATTTTCTACTGCCATAAACAACTGGTCCCTCACCCGGCCGTCAAACTGTGCTCCGAAGTTGCAATGGTTAGTCAACGCCTTCAATTCTGCATATAAATCCTGTACGGATTCCTGCTGCTTTTTCGTCCTGTTCTGAAAATCCATCAAACTCCTGTTTGATACCTTCATATCACATCAAGATATATATTATATTTCACTACATAATGCACTACATTAAGCAGGGTAATCCGGTTTACATTTGTCTTCGTGTGGGGCAGCTGTGGCGCACACAAGTTACCCAGAACACTATATACTTCTGTACCCAGTGAAACTAAGAGTACCGCTTTCTTGTCGGCGTCCTCCTTAATCTCACGGTACTGAAAAATTGCTTCCAGCAGGCTGAGCCACAGGTCCAACGAGATCTTGGTGGCATTAAACGACTCCGTTGAGATGAGTGCTGGGGTAGCCATGGCCACACGGTGGGTTGCACAACTCACTGTTGTATATCATTTGTCCACACGAGGTACCTTGCTCACTTCCTCACACCTCGTCTTGTACCCAGGCTCTCAGCCTCAGGTGTTTAATAATCCTCTTCGCCATTGTTACGTTTAGGCCGGAAGAGAAACAATCTTCGTCCACATGGTTGATTGTCAACAACCAACAACAACAACAACATCAGGTACATAACTTACTATTTACAAGAATATAAACAAAAGAGCATCTGCTCAAAACATGCTTTACTTAACATCTGTAGTACTTAATCCTAACACTTACCAGAGCATTTTAGGATTCGACGACGCTTGCCCTCTGACGCTCCAACATGGCGCTATTCTTGGTCGTCCAACAAAATCCTTTAGGACTGTCTCTCAAAGTTTCATTCAGTCCTGACTTGAGCACAGGAAGTTGCCTGGCAGGCTTCACACAGAGACACCCGCTTACTTTCCTCCACTGGAAGGAATATCTCACATTAGAGTCCACACAGGAACGACCACCCTTTAAGCTTCAGGTCGCCTCTAATATCTTCACGATCACTGGAAAATGGGGTACGACGTCCCTGCAGGTTCCTCACACTTGATAACAAGTTGCCTTCACTCAACAACTAAACAAGGAACTATATTCTTCATTCTTCCCAGGAGGTCAACGACATACGTCCATTCCTGATGACTGTAGCAACTCAAGTGACGCATTAGACATACACCTGCATCACATCTCGTCACAAAATGTCAACATCTCATCTCCATCTAACTTTTATAAGATGCTCGTCCTCTCCTTGTCTCTATTTAATTATTCACTGACGTTTACCTAATAAAATGTCTTCCCCTGACTCCTAATCTCTGATCAGGTGTGCAGAATAGCTCTCACCTGGTAGACTCACTTCACTAGGCTACGTTCAGACCGCCGCCTACCACCTTCCACCCACAAAACTCTCCCACCTGACGTATATATTGCTACTATGTCTTGACCTAAATTTATGTGTGTCTTTAACCAAATAAAGTGCATATTATAGGGGCTTCTACCATGTCATACTATTGGGGCCATGTCACGTCGTATAAAATGTTGACCGTTGGTTTATATTTTTGGCGGAATAAAATTTTATTCTTTTAAAACAGATGATGAGTTGTTGGTGACCTTAAACCTAGACAGTGATCAGCGACCCAATGTGGTTGCTTCACGCCCAGGCAGTGGTCCAGGACGCAATGATGGTGCTTCACGCCCAGGCAGTGGTCCAGGACGCAATGATGGTGCTTCACGCCCAGGCTGTGATCCAGGACGCAATGATGGTGCTTCACGCCCAGGCAGTGATCCAGGACGCAATGATAGTGCTTCACGCCCAGGCAGTGATCCAGGACGCAATGATGGTGCTTCACGCCCAGGCTGTGATCCAGGACGCAATGATGGTGCTTCACGCCCAGGCAGTGATCCAGGACGCAATGATAGTGCTTCACGCCCAGGCAGTGATCCAGGACGCAATGATAGTGCTTCACGCCCAGGCAGTGATCCAGGACGCAATGATGGTGCTTCACGCCCAGGCAGTGATCCAGGACGCAATGATAGTGCTTCACGCCCGGGCAGTGGTCCAGGACGCAATGAAAGTGCTTCACGCCCGAGCAGTGGTCCAGGACGCAATGATAGTGCTTCACGCCCAGGCTGTGATCCAGGACGCAATGATAGTGCTTCACGCAGTACTTCTTCCAGACAGTGTGAAAGGTCAGAATGCTTTATAGAGTCTACTCAGATGACTGTAGAGTGAGGTAGGGTTGTCTGCCCCCACAGTTCCATAACTCAGCCTTCATCACTCAAGACCATATATTGAACTTTCATGATTTGTAAATATTGTTTTTTGTGACAAGTTCAGCCACATGGTTGATGTCCCCCGAGTGTAACACTTCTCATTATCTCATGAATGTAAATACTTCACTTTGTTAATGCCTCCTGAAGTCACTACTCTTATACTGATGGGTAACTTGCTGAAGTTACTGCTCCTATACTGATGGGTAACTTGCTGAAGTTACTGCTCCTATACTGATGGGTAACTTGCTGAAGTTACTGCTCCTATACTGATGGGTAACTTGCTGAAGTCAGTGCTCCTATACAGATGGGTTACATCCTGAAGTCACTACTCCTACACTGATGGGTTACTTGCTGAAGTTGCTACTCCTATACTGATGGGTTACTTGCTGAAGTCACTGCTCCTATACTGATGGGTTACTTGCTGAAGTTGCTACTCCTATACTGATGGGTTACTTGCTGAAGTCACTGCTCCTATACTGATGGGTTACTTGCTGAAGTTGCTACTCCTATACTGATGGGTTACTTGCTGAAGTCACTGCTCCTATACTGATGGGTTACTTGCTGAAGTCACTACTATACTGATGGGTTACTTGCTGAAGTCACTACTCTTATACTGATGGGTTACTTGCTGAAGTCACTGCTCCTATACTGATGGGTTACTTGCTGAAGTCGCTACTCCTATACTGATGGGTTACTTGCTGAAGTCACTACTCCTATACTCATGGGTTACTTGCTGAAGTCACTGCTCCTATACTGATGGGTTACTTCCTGAACTCACTGCTCCTATACTGATGGGTTACTTGCTGAAGTCACTGCTCCTATACTGATGGGTTACTTCCTGAAGTCACTGCTCCAATACTGATGGGTTACTTCCTGAACTCACTGCTCCTATACTGATGGGTTACTTGCTGAAGTCACTACTCCTATACTCATGGGTTACTTGCTGAAGTCACTGCTCCTATACTGATGGGTTACTTCCTGAACTCACTGCTCCTATACTGATGGGTTCCTTCCTAAAATCACTACTCTTACACTAATCATAATACTATTTCCTTGGGAATACATCTGAACAGCTTTTAAAACTCGTAGAGTAAGGAAAACATTGATGAGTATTAAGCTGTGGAGGAAAGTGTAGGGGAGGTGAGAACAGCAGTGGGTAAGGGGTTCCCCCCATTCCTGCACACCAGTTAAGTTCACACATTCATAGACCTGTAGAGCTCTGGGGCCAGATTCACGAAAGCACTTGCGCAAACACTTACGAACCTGAACATCTTTTTTCAATCTTTGGCGGCTTTGTTTCCAATTATTAAACAGTTAACGAGCTCCGAAGCACCAGGAGGCTGTTTATAACAATAATAACAGTTGAATGGGAAGTTTCCATGCTTGTAAACTGTTTAATAAATGTAACCAAAGCCGTCAAAGATTGAGGAAAGATGTACACGTTCGTAAGTGCTTGCGTAAGTGTTTTCGTGAATCTGGCCCCCGGTAGGTGTGCTGGCAGAGTCGTCCTGGTGGCATTCATAGACCTGTAGAGCTCTGCTGGTAGGTGTGCTGGCAGAGTCGTCCTGGTGGCGGCGTCAGTTTTGTCTTGCAAGAACTTCATTTGTTTGTGTTGTTACAGGAGAAGCGAAGAGGGCGGGACCGTAGAGGAGTCATGGCTGCTTCACCAGGCTGCTCTTCTGCGCCAGGACCGCATCTTACTGGGCTATGGGTGAGGAGAGATTTGTTCTTGTTACTCACACCGTTACTCATGCTGTACTCGGAGCGACAATAAGGTTGTACACTGAGTAATACTCAACTTTTATTCAGAGCGATATGCTTTACTCAGAGAGATATGCTTTACTCAGAGATATACTCATGCTTTACTCAGAGAGATACTCATGCTTTACTCAGAGATATGATTTACTCAGATACTCATGCTTTACTCAGAAAGATACTCATGCTTTCCTCAGATATTCTCATGCTTTACTCAGAGATACTCATGCTATACTTAAGGATAATAATGCTTTATTTATAGAAATACTCATGCTTTACTCAGAGATACTCATGCTATACTTAAGGATAATAATGCTTTATTTATAGAAATACTCATGCTTTACTCAGATACTCATGCTTTACTCAGAGATACTCATGCTTTACTCAGAGATACTCATGCTATACTTAAGGATACTCATGCTTTATTCATAGAGATACTCATGCTTTACTCAAAGAGATACTCAAGCTTTACTCAAAGAGATACTCAAGCTTTACTCAGAGAGATACTTATGCTTTACTCAGAGAGATACTTATGCTCTACTCAGAGAGATACTCATGCTTTACTCAGAGAGATACTCAAGCTTTACTCAGAGAGATACTTATGCTCTAATCAGAGAGATACTCAAGCTTTACTTAGAGAGATACTTATGCTCTACTCAGAGAGATACTTATGCTTTACTCAGAGAGATACTTATGCTTTACTCAGAGAGATACTTATGCTTTACTCAGAGATATACTCAAACTTCACAAGGAGGTGTTGAGGCAGCAGTCATTCATGAACAAGTCTATGAACCACAGACGTTGCTCATGAACCTTGTAGTGCTTGTCATCATCAACATAAATAAAGTAACACCAAATTATCACAATAAGCAAGTTAGGCTGTGAGGTCAAGTTGGTTTAATAGGCGGGAGAATGTATTGGTAAAGAATGAGAAGGTGAGTGAATGTTGACGCCCCTTACACTGTCAGTATTAGCACTGTCTCAGCTCCCGCCACAAACTGACATCAAACTGGGAAATTAGCATTCCTGGGGCGTCATTTTTGCATGACAATATAGTCTCTGTATTTACAGTTATTTCTCTCTCTTGTATGTCTGACGAGGGACTCCCACGGTAACTCTTCAGCCGAGTGATGATTAGTGCCGGGGTCCAAGAGCTAGAGTTCAACCCTCACAATCACAGAGCCGTGAGGACACAATGTGTACAAACACACGGACACCATGCATGTACAAATACACACAAATACACTATATATATATATATATATATATATATATATATATATATATATATATATATATATATATATATATATATATATATATATATATATATATATATATATATATATATATATATATATATATATATATATATATATATATATATATATATATATATATATATATATATATATGTCGTACCAAGTAGCCAGA